CTGAATCCTAGCACTACCCTCCAGCATATCTACTACTCCCCAGCTTTGTGTCATCTTCAAACTTGCTGAGGGTGCACTGTGCCATCTTCCAGGTCGCTGATGATGATATCGAACAAAATAAGCCCTAGGACCAAACCCTGGGGCACTCCACTTGATACTGGTTGCCAGCTAGACATCAAGTCATTGATTACTACTCTCTAAGCCCAATGCTCCAGCCAGTTTTCTATCCAACTTACAATCCATTCATTTGGGTTCCTGCTTTAAGCCTTTCTTTGGGCCTCCTGTGTATTTCTTAATTGTTCTTTAAAATTCTCTTGTCTCTCCCTCCATGAAGCAAACACCTAGGTGCTAAGTCATTCCTGATCCTTCAATTGATTATTCATAAACAGAACAGTAATTTACTTCTGATTTCTGAATCCGTTATACACATCCATTCACAATGTCCCCAAATTAATTTGCTTCTTTTCCTTTAATTAATATAAATTCATTCAACAGATCCATAAATTAATTTACTTGCTGCTTCCTAATCACCTCCACAAATTCATTCAAAATTTATAAATGAATTTAATTTGTGCTTCTTAATCACTTCTATAAATTCATTCAAAGTTCATAAATTAATTTACTTCTTGCTTCTTAATCACTTCCATAAATTCATTTGAAACTCATAAATTAATCCTCTTATTTCTTATTTAATCCTGCAAATTCTTTTAAAACACCCCCACCAAATCAAGCCACATCTGGTCTCCCAATACCCCATCAGAATTCATTCACAGTGTCCCCATGTAGCATGAACTGAACTAATATAGCTGATGTCAACATAAAATGTAATAGTAGTGAAATGTAAACATGTTAGTCTTGTCCTGTAAGCAACCTGAAAACTCCATTTTGTATCCTTCTGCTTGACATAAGTGAATGAACTCTGCTTAGCCTTTATATATGACTGTGTGTAAAAGGGTGAATGGTGAGAGAATGGCATAGAGACAAGAGAAGAATATTTAACTGTTTATGTAAGCAACAAGGTGCCAAATGTAAGTTACCAGTCAGTAAACTAATTAATGAATGGCTGAAGAATCCCTTTTAGGCCTAGGGCACAAAGAAGATAACAAGGAGAAGGACCCATCCTGCCGAATGGGCTGCAAAAACACTCCAAGGCTGAGAGAAGCTGAAAACACAAGAAGAACAACTGCAAAAACAGAAGCTGGGTATGGAAAAACCCCAAAGCACTGAAACAAAGGATGCAAATCCCTATTAAAGAACACTTTGAAAATACCAAGTTGGGTGAGTCTCTTTCTCTACTGCTGTTTCATCAGAGCACAGATGCATCTGTTTACCTTGCTCCAGCTGTTATCTTCAAATCTGCTATCTTCAAATCATCATCATCTACTCAGTAAGCCTGGGTTAGCGACCCTGGGCTGATTTTGAGCAACTATTGTTGGTAACTATATCTGGTGTATGTGTGGATGAAATGGTTGTTTTGTGTATGTGTATGCCTGTGTGTAATGATGTGCACGATGTGTGTTTGTATGAATGGTGCGTCTGAACCTCTATGCCTAACTCATGTAATCAATAAATGCGGCATCTTGCCTTTATCCCCCTTTATAAAGTCTCGCTCATGATTTGAGCAATTGGCAATTTAAGTAACACCCACTGCTGTGCCATCACCAGTTGCCTCATGGTGTGGTTCTCATCTCTGCCAATCCCCAGGGCTGCCAGCCTAGTCCTTGTTAACTCAGCCACTCCTGTCACTTAGTTCTCTTCCCCAGGGTCAGTCAGATCCTTGCTGAGTCCCATTCACACTCTTCCAAGACTCCTCAGTTTGGCTGTCTGGGACTCCACATACAGCTCCCTGTCTATGCTGTGCTCTCCCGTCTCTGGAGGAAGCCAAATGCCATTCCTTCTTCTGGCTCTTCCTAAAGTTGCCTGCCAGCAGTCTGGACCAGTAAAGCTGGACTCCTCCTAGCATGTGATCCTGTGCCTTTGAAGGCCTGTCCCTCCACACAGGGCTTATCCCCAGACCCTTTTCCCTGATATAGCTGCAGCCCTGTGACTCTCCCAGGCTTGCTCAAGTGAGTCCCATCTTGGAGTGGCCAGCTTCTTCTGTCCATAGCAGGAGTTTGACACCAGCTCCTTCTACAGCTATGTACCCAAGGATCTCTTGTATGTGAAACTCTTTACAGGAAGAAAACCATGTGAGTGTCTTTATCTAAGTTCAAAGATGCTTGCTAGGGAGATATAAAGGCAGTTAACATGGAATCACATGGCTTTGAGAAGGCTGCTGACGACTGAAGTGCTTGGAAACAGTCTTTTAAGCATGGAATGAAGGCTTTTGAAGAAAGAGTATCCCAACATGCAGAGGAAAGAAGAAACCTCAGGAAGAGCCCCGCAGCACATTCAGGGTTGTTCAATGCAAACATTGCATGTAATAAGTGCGGAAGGGACTGTCACTCAATTTGAGCTGTACAGCCACTCACAGATGTTCAGCAAGCTGATGCCTCACTTCGTGCATTTCTATTTTCTCATGGGACAGACAGATGCCTAGATTTGCCAAGGACAACACTCTGACCTGTTGCATGCCATTGCATTACACAACATACAAGGAGCAATGGTCTCAAGTGGCAGCAATGCAAGTTTAGGTTAGATATTAGGAAAAACTTTCTAACAAGGAGGGTAGTGAATTGTAGTATCTCAATCTTTGGAGGGTTTTAAGACCTGGCTAGACAAAGCCTTGTCTGAAATGATATTGTTGGGGATGGTACTGCTTTGAGCAGGGGGTTGGACTAGGTGACCGATTGAGGTCCCTCCCAACCCTAATTTTCAATGATTCTTTGATTCTATGATTACTGGTGGTTTCACTTAAACTGAAATGGTATAACCGAGGGCAAAAAATGGCCTCTGATTTAAAATGATATCCTATTAATGTCAACTGTAGGCTCTTACATGGAGAACTTCCTTTGTTAACGTTACACAGTTATGAAGTTCACTCCTTGAGAGTTTTTTTTTAATTTATAGCAGAGTAACACTTTTAAAGCAGTCCTTGAAAAGTTATTGCTTAATATTGTATTGACAGATTTTCATCATGTTTGCAAGCGTCTTGGGGTACAGTTCTGACTCATCCATTTACTGTATATGATCTTGATGGATTCAATCCAACAAGGCACTAAGCATCCTCAACTCCCTGTGACACCAATGAGAGGGAAGGGTGCCCAGCAACTTGGATGAAGCACTCAGCAGCTTGAAGGAACTGGCCCCATGGTTTGCACTGTTATTACAAAAGGCCTTTGGAGACAATATAGCACTGTGATGCAGCTGCACCATTACACTCGTCTTGCTCTGTAAGCAATCATTAATCTTGCTTTATTAGCATTGCTATGACCTACACATCCAACTTTTGATACAGTAATGCAAGTCTTTTCTTCTCCAAGAGAAAGCCTTGTTCCTTGAAATCAAATCAACAGCAGCCAAAAATTTAAAAAAAAACCCACCTCACGATATAATAAATAGTAAAGCAGGACAGTAAATCATTCAGAAGCTGTAGGACTGAGTCCAAAACAAAAAGGACACAGCTCATCTTCTCCCTTCATTTTCTATCATGCACATGCCAGTGCTTTACAGTTATTAGTATACCAAATCCAGACCAATCAGTGTAATATTTCTGCATATTACACTGATTGCCTGCCTGTCTACAGGACCTATCCAAATGACCAACCAAAACTTGAAGCTAGCTCACACATTCGCAGAGAGGATAGTGGTACATTTTGAAAGTGAAGTGAAAGACAGTGTTTGAAAAAATAATGTGTAAGTGTAGCGCTATTAACAAGTTCTAGATTGACAACTGGAAAGACTTAAATCCTTTATTTCCTTGTGCAAGAGCAAGAGCTGGGGAAATTTCCCCAGTCTGGCTTGCCGTGAGGTCAGTCTGACTTGTGAGGATTGTGTCTCAGTTTCTGACACTGTTTGTAAAGACAATGCACAGGCTTTGGCTGGCACACAACGTAGGGCATCCTGATCACAGAAGGCTGCCATGATCATATCAGATCCTTGCCCAAGTTGTTTTCTGGCTCCTCAACATCTGCTGATGCCATTTGGAGGCTTTGGACTTCAAAGCAATTTTTTTTTAATCCACAGAAACTTGAACTACATTAAATATTGGATGTTACTCTAAAAAACCAAGACAGCCGAATTCCTGAGACACTGCAAATCACAAAGCCCAGGAGATCTGGGAACAGGGCAAGGGGCTTTTGGTCTGGAACAAGGTGTATAAAGTCTGAGATAGACGCACATTCATTCCTTCCGCTACCCATGGCTGGAGGAGCCAATCCTGTATTATACTGTGCTTTGCAGTTCCCTCTGTCTTACCATTTGGTTAATAGCTGTTAGATGTTTCCTGCACCATCCTGTTAGGTTATTTGTCCCCTGCCTTATTGAAGAGCAGTTTCATGCTGCAAATGTGTCTAATCAGCTGAAGCCTTCTCTTCACTGGCATATCAGTAACTGTCTCTTTCTCACTGAAGACAAATATTAATGTTTGATAACTGGGGGTTTTTTGTAGGGTTCACTGAGAGAACACTGGAAATGGACATTAAATAAGGGATTGATTTTGTAAGTTAGGGGCAGTCCTGACAGCCTCAGAAGGGTAAGACCCTTCCCTCCACAAACTCTTGCACACCATCCACCCACAATTGGCCTATCAAATTATCTGGACTTTCACGCTTGGCTCATTCCCCGAGATAAGCTACAGGCTTCAAAGCCTTCAACTTATCATTTGTTTTATATTCTGCAGATCATGCAAGTCAATCATCCATTGCCACCACCAGGAATATGTCCTTTATGGGATCCATGGCTGTTCTTCTGATTTATATCTGAGCAATAAAAAATTCCTGTAATTAAAGTAATTCTGACCTCTTTGCAGGCCTTCCGTATCAGGCAAGTCATTTCTTGATCTATTTAAGGTCTAGATAGAAGCATTCAAGAACAATCTGGATCCATTTACTGACCTTAGCTTATTTTTTTGCTGTTATATCACCCCTATGTGCTGATATGATTTCTGCCATTTGGTATATTATCACCTCTGGCCAATAGCTGCACTCTTCCTCAAGCTGCTTTATACTGTCAACCCCTACAGTGAATTTATTACCCCACTATTTTTCTGATTTAGCCATATGCCTTAAAAACATGGAACCTAGTTTTAATAGTCTTATTATTATATATTGCTGTGACCTCTTGCACAGAAGTTAACCTCTCAATGGAGGCCACCCCCTTTTCTTAGGAGGGACCACCCATTCTATGATGAATCCAGTAAGACTCTTCAGGTACAATATCTTCCCTAACCCACAGAAAATATTTGATGATAAATAATGATGATAAGTAATGATGACACAGAAGCCACACCCACAAAAAAATCAGGGCCTCTTTATGGTAGATGATATACATACATATGTCTCTGCCCCGAATTGCTTACAGACTAAAGATGTATGACAGGCAAAGGAAGGGAAAATTCCTGTTTTTCATGTTTGAAATGGATTGAAGGGATTAAATGACTGGCACACAGTCACTTGGAGGCTCGTGGTTGAACCAGGGCTTTATATCAGTACCACAGGACCCTTGCCTCATGGTGTGTACAGGATAGATCATTGGAAATGAATTGGGGTATGGGAAAATCCAAGGTTTTGTAAAGGAAGGGAGCGGGGGTGCTGTAGCAGCGACCAGCAGTGCAGGGATGCCTACACCCTCACTGACAGCTCTCCCTCCACCCCCAGGATAAGCAGACCACATCATGGACGCAGCAGCCGAGGTTAAGTCCTTGACTCCGGTAAGAATCTCTCCCCCACACCCCATCCCTTCCCTTCCATGTTCAGCAGCACGTTGCCTCCCCCCCCATTCCTCACCTCTCCCACTCGCCACTGCCATTGTCCCCACTGTCTCCAACTCCCCCAGGAGCAAGGAAAGTTGTAGAGGTCCTTCAAGAGGCTGAAAGGAGAGCCAGGCTCAGCCAGTGACCATAGCAATGGTGCCTCCAGGTGAGGTCTTCATCCCTAAGCCTACTCTCCAGCTGGCAGGGAACACCCAGTGGGACTGGGCATGGAGGAGGAACACCTCCCCCCCCCCATACATCACTGCTGTCGCTGTCCTTAGCTGAGGCTGGCTCCCCATGCAGCCTGCCCGGAACAGGGCAGGAGAGGCTCTGGAGCTCTCCCCACCTCTGGGGCACCAGAGAAAGTGGGAACAGTGAGACTGGCAGGCCAGGGGGGAGAGGAGGGGAATGTGAGGGGATGAGACATGCCACTGAATGTGAAGAAGTTGGGGGAGACTCTTACCTGTCAGGGACTTTAAAAAAATCCCCAGCTGCTACTCCCACAGTGTAGTCTTAAAGGGGGGGGGGTGCAACCATGCCACTGCATCCCATGCATCTGCCCACAAATCAGGGCCATGTAATGCAGGAAGGCTTTGTGCCTCCTCCATCTGCTCCAGAACTTGGTAAGTGTATTGACTGACGCAGGAAACTGAAAGAAATGAATGGATAGTCTGAGGATCAGCCCTGCAAATGCTGCCCTGGAGAAAAGCATTCTCTTCCTCCCTCGGCTAAAAACTTCCTGTCTGTACTGACAAAGTTACGTATACTGAACTTTTCAAAAAGGATTATTAATGGTTTGTTCCCTGTTTTCTGAGTGCTTAACCCTAAAACCCAGAATCTAATGTGAAGAACATTCATAGATACAACTGAAGTCAATGGGAGCTGTGCTTTGAGCATAAAAGTTATGTACAGTACTAAATAGCTTGGGGAAAAAAAGATGCTAAGCATTTCAATTTGGGCATACAGAGTTAGTGGAAAAATCTGATTTTTTTTCTACCGGTCCTCCTTTTCATAGTCTATAACATATGAATAATTTACTGGGGTTCATAGATTAATAACATTTAAGGCCAGGAAGAAGCACACAATTGCCTAGTCTGACTTCCTATATATTACAGGTCTAATACCGAGCCAAATACCTTGAATTTTAATGACATATATCTTCTATAAAGGCCAGGATCTTCTAGAAAGATCTTGATTTGAAGACAGGCAAGGAAGAATCTACCAAGTACCTTTTGCTACAGTAACTAAGCACCTTTACCTTTACCCTTAAATTTTTCCCATCACCCATGGGAGGGGGGAAGCAGCAGCAGGAGGGGTGGGGGGATCAGGGCAGGACTCAGAGCAGTGGCAAACGGGGGGAACAAGGCTAGACCAGGAGCAGCAGGGGGAGGGCATGGGTCTCCATCTCTACCCTGCTCCCCCACCTTGTCATTCATCAATGGCATTTTGCTAGTTAATTAATAAATCAAATAATTTGTGTGAAGCACTCAAGTACTATAGTGATGAGCACTACTAAAAAGGCTGTGATGGAATTAATAGTTCTGCCTGCTCCATTTGTATTGTTTTGAACAAGATGCACAATAAGGTCAAACAGCAGCCTTAGATTTCAGAACGGCGGACTTCAATGAGCTAAGGAGAATAGTCAAGAAAGCACTGAGATCCCGGAGGGGAGGGGAGCCGGGTGTCCAAGGGGAGTGGTTGCTCCTTAAGGAGACGATCCTCCAAGCCCAAAGGGAGGTAATCCCAACACGAATCAAAGGGAGCAGGAGGGCGCAAAAGCCCCCATGGCTCACCAAAAGCCTTTTTCACAGCAAGAGCATACTGTTGGCTTATAGACAGCTTATTGCCCACTTTAAACCCCGGGTCATTTTCTGCAGAGCTGCTGCTTATCCAGTCAATCCCGATGCATGGAATTGTTCCATCCTAAGTGCAGGACTTTGCACTTGTCATTATTGAACTTTGTGACATTACTTTTGGTTCAATCCTCCAGGGTGTCTAGGTCTCTCTTCTGAATCCTAGTCCTGAATAACCTGCACTGAAAAACCAAAAAGAAGGTGTTTATTTTAATTTGTAGAATAAGCTTGGATACTTGGATAGCCAAATTAGTATATAGATTTTTACCAGTGATCTGTGCATGAGGTATAAGGAACTGGGAAGTGATTCTTAACTTTTAAGGCTATGAGCTTTTTGCTGACCTTTCAAATCATAGAACCTCACCCAAAATAATCTAAGCACTTAAGTCCTTTGGTGGCTACTCAGGAGGGTAAATAGGAGGGGTCTTGGTGTCTTAAGCAACTAAATTATACCAAAGTCATATTTAGGCACCTGCATGAGGTTTAGATTTCACCCACATACAACTTTAATGGTTAGGTGTCCAAAAGTTTCATTCTGGATCTAATCTTAGGTGCATGTGTTTCTTTCTGTTTTGAAAGATGTCACTTGGGCATTTTGAAAAGTGCATCTCAGATATCACTCAAGGTCTTAAGACTGTTTCAGGCAAGAGGTTTCCAATTATTATTTCAGAACAAAAATGGCAAAGGACAGACTTTTAGCAAAGCTTAGGGAAAAGCTGCAGTATTCCATCCCAACCTGTAACTATTGTTCGGATGGGTAATCATATTCTTGGTTGCAACTCTGATCTGCCGCTCCCTTCCTTCTTCCAACCTTTAACACTGAGGTATCAAAGGGACTCTTTCACACTTTTGCTCTGTGGTAAATCCCTCTTGAACTGCTACACTGTGCTTATCTGTAGATGATTCTTGTTTTGGCAAGCACTCTTCCTCCCTGTCTTCCTAGGGAAATAGGTTTGACTACACCACATCAAATCATTGCAGAAGAGGCCACAGCAATGAAGCGCCTGGACCAATTTAAAAACAATCTTTAAGCATTAATTGACGCTATCTGGGAAATTAATGAACTCCCTCAAGATAGTTTGACTATATAGCTGTACACAGTGTAATAATCAAAGCATTCAAATGTTCGGGCTCAGTTGCTGGGTGATTTCGTTTCTTGTAATGAAAGTAATAAAATGAAGAAGTAAATTAATTATATCTGTATGAAGAAGCCACACAGCCTGAAACCTAAGCACTGAGGGCTGCATCCTTTCAGGTATTTGGGCATCTATTTCCCAGCAAGGACCTGGCTTACTGTGTTTACCTTCTTCATTAACAAACCTGGTATTCTGTCACCGGAAGCAAAAAGGGATACATGATGCACAGTCACCGACATTTAAAAAAACACTTGCGATCAATAAATCAGACCACCCAGATTGAGGAGACTAACTCAAAGTACCCACCTGTGAGCTGTAGCTGCAGAGTGCTGACCTTTGTTGATGCTCTGTAAAATCTGTGCACGTCAGGGATGGTCAGGTTTGGCAGGCCTGAGATTTCATTATTGTTGCAAACCTCTTGAGGTGAAATCCATGTAAGTGTAGAATAGCATGTGGATGACACCCCAAAGCAAGCAAGCAGGAGTAACAATCCCCTTAAGCCCTTACATGAATCACCCAGACCTCAGATCTAGACACACAAGATTGGGTAAAAAGGCATATAACACCTCTTCACTCCTGGAGGTGGTGGCTAGATAACAGGCAGAGTCATATAATCATAGAAAAGTAGGGCTAGAAGAAACCTCCAGTGGTCATTCAGTCCAACCCCCTTCCCCACCCCAGAGGCAGGATAATCCCCATCCAAAACATCCTATACAATACCATTATCTAACCTATTAGCAAAATTACAGTCAGCCCTGACACAGCCACAAGACAGGGCTGACACAACCACAAGACCCTAACCTGACAGACTAATCAGCGGGACACCAGCAGCCAATTTCCCACTGCTATGAGGGTTGTTAAAATATATTTCCACACAACAGATCTGTACCAATTTGACCATGGGGTAAAATGCCTTCCTGACCCCAAATATAACAATTGGTCTGACCCTGAACAGAGGGGCAAGACCCTCTAGCCAGGAGCCTCTTGTGTTTAAGCCTCAGGGTGTGCCTAGGCTTGCACACCTCAGTCAAAAGCCCCAGGCTTGGCTGAAGCTAACCTCCAATTATTCAAATTAAAAGAAAACAGGCTCCATTCCTTGTATTTGGCTAGGATATGCACTGTTGTAACCTGCTGGTGGTGTAGTTGTGGTTATCTGGGTCCCAGAGTGTGATGTAAGTGGTGGACTTCTAGGACAATGTGTTGGATTATCGGCAGAGGGGCAGGTGGCTTCACCTCACCCCTGGGTCCTATTCAAGTAGAGAGAGAAAGACGGAGGGAGAGAGAAAAAACAGTAGGCAGATCAGTGATTAGAAATCATTACAACTGAATAGTTTCTAATTAATCAACACTAGAGCAGCCATCACAAGCACCGCCGCTAGGATAGCCTGGCTGCAAGCTCTGAAGTAGAAGGAAGACTTCACGTTGGGGGCCTGACTCTCAGGAGACCATTAGCTGACTGGAAGGATACAATCTGGTTCCCTTTTGTTCCCATAACTTAAGAGGAAAATCTGTCTAATTTAGCTTGCAGTGAAGCATTAGGTTAAATGAAATCTTTGCTTGGGCTGTGTCTTAAAAATCCTTCTCCCTTCAAATGCTTTGTTCCAACTGCTAAAGAAAAAGACTTGGTTTCAAGTAGGCTGTTGGTCAAAGGCTCCCAAAGAGAGGATGCATAGGTGCCTAAAGTCCAGTTAAGGGCCTGCAGGCTGTGTTGTGTCTTGTTGTCTTTTCCTTTCACTGTCCCTTGAAACCCAAAGCCCTCTTGTTCAGCACTGAAGGGCTCGATGTGCTTGTGGAAGTTTTGCAGCACTGGGGACTCCTTGTTCTCTGCCATGAGGAGCCAGGGGATATATTCTTGGTTCCTCTCTTGCCACAGGCCTGGACTGGGGCAAGTCAGAGGCAGAGCAAGTATAAGTTCTGCATACATATATTGAGGGCAATTGTCAAGATCCATCCTGGATATGATTCCAGGGAATTATAATAATAAATAACAGTCAGTTCAA